CCCCCCCCCCCCCCCGGGGCGGCCATTTTTGGATCTTTTTCTACAGTTTTTTTCTAGAACTAAGTGGGCATTCTTTGTACTCGGACTGCTTGTTTTGCACAAGAAGTGGATTTGTGAATGTGAAGGAAGGTGCGTCGTCATTGGACGGCTGAGCTGTGTTGTGGCGCTTCCTGCTCGTTCAGCCGGGAATCTGGAAGAACGGAGCGCGCCGGGCTCCATCATTGGGGAAAACAAGGATCGTCTGGAGGCGCTCCTCCTACCTTACAATGTCTGGAAGTCCGCACCAGTGCGCGCTCCTGGTGACAGCCAGCAACACGCATGGGAAGGAAGACCGAAGGATTCTCAATTCACTGATTTCCTGGAAGGAAACAAAAACTACGACTAAAAGTTGCTTGAAGTTTTGCAACACTAAACAAAGTTTTGGCTTCCGCGGCACTAACTCTTCCCGTGAGGAAACGTCTAACCAAATCCAACCGCCAAAACTTTGGCTCCTCGCCGGACTCGGCACTTATGTGGGAATTCTGCACCGGCACATGCGTCTCCGCCAAAACTTGACAACAAAGAGAATGAACGGCGGTGACGCAATAATCTCTCAATATTGTTGTAAGCTTCTTTATGTATTTTTCTGTTTTCATTCTGGAGGTGGCGGCTGCAGAACACGGGACCGCGCAATGCGGTGTCACCGCCGGCAGAACATGTGACATTACAATGCGGTGTCACTGCCGGCAGAACATGTGACATTGCAATGCGGTGTCACCGCCGGCAGAACATGTGACATTGCAATGCGGTGTCACCGCCGGCAGAACATGTGACATTGCAGTGTGGTGTCACTGCCGGCAGAACATGTGACATTGCAATGCGGTGTCACCGCCGGCAGAACATGTGACATTGCAATGCGGTGTCACCGCCGGCAGAACATGTGACATTGCAATGCGGTGTCACCGCCGGCAGAACATGTGACATTGCAATGCGGTGTCACCGCCGGCAGAACATGTGACATTGCAATGCGGTGTCACCGCCGGCAGAACATGTGACATTGCAATGCGGTGTCACCGCCGGCAGAACATGTGACATTGCAATGCGGTGTCACCGCCGGCAGAACATGTGACATTGCAGTGTGGTGTCACTGCCGGCAGAACATGTGACATTGCAATGCGGTGTCACCGCCGGCAGAACATGTGACATTGCAGTGTGGTGTCACCGCCGGCAGAACATGTGACATTGCAATGCGGTGTCACCGCCGGCAGAACATGTGACATTGCAATGCGGTGTCACCGCCGGCAGAACATGTGACATTGCAATGCGGTGTCACCGCCGGCAGAACATGTGACATTGCAATGCGGTGTCACCGCCGGCAGAACATGTGACATTGCAATGCGGTGTCACCGCCGGCAGAACATGTGACATTGCAATGCGGTGTCACCGCCGGCAGAACATGTGACATTGCAATGCGGTGTCACCGCCGGCAGAACATGTGACATTGCAATGCGGTGTCACCGCCGGCAGAACATGTGACATTGCAATGCGGTGTCACCGCCGGCAGAACATGTGACATTGCAATGCGGTGTCACCGCCGGCAGAACATGTGACATTGCAATGCGGTGTCACCGCCGGCAGAACATGTGACATTGCAATGCGGTGTCACCGCCGGCAGAACATGTGACATTGCAATGCGGTGTCACCGCCGGCAGAACATGTGACATTGCAATGCGGTGTCACCGCCGGCAGAACATGTGACATTGCAATGCGGTGTCACCGCCGGCAGAACATGTGACATTGCAATGCGGTGTCACCGCCGGCAGAACATGTGACATTGCAATGCGGTGTCACCGCCGGCAGAACATGTGACATTGCAATGCGGTGTCACCGCCGGCAGAACATGTGACATTGCAATGCGGTGTCACCGCCGGCAGAACATGTGACATTGCAATGCGGTGTCACCGCCGGCAGAACATGTGACATTGCAATGCGGTGTCACCGCCGGCAGAACATGTGACATTGCAATGCGGTGTCACCGCCGGCAGAACATGTGACATTGCAATGCGGTGTCACCGCCGGCAGAACATGTGACATTGCAATGCGGTGTCACCGCCGGCAGAACATGTGACATTGCAATGCGGTGTCACCGCCGGCAGAACATGTGACATTGCAATGCGGTGTCACCGCCGGCAGAACATGTGACATTGCAATGCGGTGTCACCGCCGGCAGAACATGTGACATTGCAATGCGGTGTCACCGCCGGCAGAACATGTGACATTGCAATGCGGTGTCACCGCCGGCAGAACATGTGACATTGCAATGCGGTGTCACCGCCGGCAGAACATGTGACATTGCAATGCGGTGTCACCGCCGGCAGAACATGTGACATTGCAATGCGGTGTCACCGCCGGCAGAACATGTGACATTGCAATGCGGTGTCACCGCCGGCAGAACATGTGACATTGCAATGCGGTGTCACCGCCGGCAGAACATGTGACATTGCAATGCGGTGTCACCGCCGGCAGAACATGTGACATTGCAATGCGGTGTCACCGCCGGCAGAACATGTGACATTGCAATGCGGTGTCACCGCCGGCAGAACATGTGACATTGCAATGCGGTGTCACCGCCGGCAGAACATGTGACATTGCAATGCGGTGTCACCGCCGGCAGAACATGTGACATTGCAGTGTGGTGTCACTGCTGGCAGAACATGTGACATTGCAATGCGGTGTCACCGCCGGCAGAACATGTGACATTGCAGTGTGGTGTCACTGCCGGCAGAACATGTGACCATGCACTGTGGTGTCACTGCCGGCAGAACACGTGACCATGCACTGTGGTGTCACCGCCGGCAGAACACGTGACCATGCACTGTGGTGTCACCGCCGGCAGAACACGTGACCATGCACTGTGGTGTCACCGCCGCACAACAAGTGACATTGCAGTGTGTTGTCAGTGCCGGCAGAACATGTGACATTGCCCTGTGGTGTCACCGCTGCAGAACACGGGACCATGCACTGTGGTGTCACCGCCTGCTCTCCGGGGTTTCATAGATTTTTTGTTTCTTATTTTCTTTCCAAAGTTCTCCCAGGACGGGCTCTTTGGTATGTTCGGTGACGCCGGGCTGGTGCTCCGGCGTGTGAACGGTTCTGGGGAAACATAATTGTCACTTTGTGTTGTCAGATGACGGTGTTTCTAGGTGGCTCAATGTACCAAAATCTGGTCCGGCTCCTCCACCGGAAGGGGGCGCGCTCATAGGATTGGGGGAGTCAATGCTCCGGGTTCTACTTCCAGTAGAGGAAGTCCGATCCGGTTCTGGTTCTGTACCTCTTCACGTAGAATGTCCGTCTCTCTGTGTGACATAACGATCCCCGGTCACCGACAATCTCCTGCAGACGGTACGCAGGCCTCCAGTTGGTGGGGGGGAAAGGCTGTCAGCAGGAGGGGGTATGAT